AAGCCAGTCTCTTGAGGTTAGCTGTTAGCCATTAGCCTAGAAAGGATTCGCGCCAGCTTTCCGTGTGCAGTGTCCTCGCTCGGCCAGCTGCTTCAGGCGACGTCTCGGCCTAAAAGCCGAGAGGCTCCGCAGCTTCTCAGCTAAAACTCGTAGTGTGAATGGCTGTAATATTTACAAATTCGAGCAGCATCGGAAGCTCATTCAGCACTCAGAGAAGCCGCTGGGGGCTTTACAATCACTCGCCTTTATCTCTTTGGAAATACTGTTAAATAATAAATCTTAAATAAAGTTAAATAGTCTTATCATACTCTTACAACAATCTCATAATGAGAAATATTGAATATTTTGATCAAATTTAATGATTTCACTTGCCATCATAATATTTTTAGCATTTGCATAGTTCACAATTAATTAAGCTGCAAAAAACACATGTTGGTAATTTATTGTTTCTGTGAGGTCACAAGAAGCAACTAATCTACATTCATAGCAGTTTAGCTTCACCCATTCACACTGAAGTTTTAGTGAGTGTTTCAGCTCTTAGTGCTTTTTCAATGAAGCACAAAATGGGGGAGCTAATCAGAACAGAGCTCATTTACATAAATCAGTCTTAAAGGTGCAGTAGCAAAAACAGTTTGTTTAACTCTAAGTGATAAAGAGAGGTTGGAAAACAGATGTAAAAATGAGTTATGACTGTTTTAAAGGACCTCAAGGGAAAACATACACTGAAAAAACTGGTGTAGGATGTGGACCTACAAGCATTTTCCACATTTGGAGATCCTAATAGAATTGCAATGGGAATAATTTCAATACAAACCAGTGTAACACTAAGATGTATTTCACACGTACGACTGCTTTTCTTCAGATACAATGCTGGCGTGAACAGTACTGTACGACCATATGTCCCCTCTGTGATCAGCGTTCTCTGCAGAGTGATGAAAAAAGCCACCAGAAATATTGAAAACGAGGCATTAATATGCATGAAAAAGTCTATCTAATATGGAAATGAGCACTTAAAGCAGAAGTAATGAGCATATGACTGTTGATACATCAATCATAAATCACAGGACGTGGAGGGAGAGAGTGAATGATGTCTGTTTGAGTCAGGATCGGCTCGGCGTGGCGCTCGTCTCCTCACTCTTATTCCCACATCACCTGTTTAGTTTCACTGGTGGTGTTTAGATCACAATTAGGGCGGTCACTCTCAATTATATTAATAACTGAGTAATCGTCTGATTGTTTTAACAATTCATTAAGTTTTTTTTTTTTTTAAACAATGCATATTAACTTTTAAAAGAGCTAAATTCACGTTTTATATATGGTAGAGTCTCAAAACACATCTCGCTACTGCAGAAGTGAGGAGTGATAATGTTAATGTTATTATGTTAATGTTTGCCCTTTTGTAACGATACACATATTTTCAGGTTCAATACGATTTTCAGTTCAAGATTGAGTTTTTTTTTTGCTATTTTCTGTGTTAAAGGTGTCTCGATTCGACCGAATTCTCTTAATAGTCAACACAGTTAAAGAAAAGTTCTGAGAAATATATCAGTGCAGATTTAATTGGAATGAATGATATTTTTTAAATCTAGTAATCGATGAATCAGGACAGCGGTGATGGCAATATACCCAAACTACCTATTCTCTACCTATACTTATTTCATCATCATTTTAGCAGACAAGAATGTAATAAACTAATACAGTCATAAACACAACAATGTATTTTTGCATACTTTGTATGTTGATTTCTTTTAGTTTTCTGTGCTTTTGTATATAATGTCTTGTATGGATCATTCTACCAAAATGGTTCAGAGTCAGAGTTGAAAGCACACGTCAGACTTTTAACTGACCTTGGACGTTTGATAAAGATCCTTTTGCTTTGAGTGACACTGTACCTTAATTATGTCTATTTTATTAAAACTCATGATTGAACATTCCATTTTGTCAGTACCAAAACAATCATAACTCTACCCAAACTTTACCAAATGTTTCGGTAGTGACTGTTTCAGTACTGGCGATTTTGAGCAGAACTCAAAAATGCGGCCAGTACATGACTCGCAAACACAGCTGTAACCACATAAAATCATCATATTTTTCATTAAAACTCAAAAAAGTTGCTTAACTGCAGAAAATCTGTGTTTCGGTAGTGACAATACTTAATGTTCCACACTGATTTTCAAACTTTGGGACAGATTTACTTCAAAACGATGGGCTGTAACTGCTCACCATGTGGCCATGAGGGACAGGGATGCAGCCTCACTTCCCGCTCTGAAATGCAGGGGTGTGGCTAAAATAAGACTCTCTGTCTGTGGACTAAAACTATGTTTCAGTAGTGACATGAAAACACGGGACAGCATTTTCTGAGTAAAGAAAAAAAAAATTATTTGTGATAAGTTAAATCTTTCAGCTTCACTTTAAAAGAAATAAAAAAGAAAAAACACAAAATAACAAAATGTAAGTATTATTTCCACAAGTGTAAATTTAGGGGTTGGGGTTTGGGGCAGACACTTCCCAACAAAAAGTACGCTATACATGATCATTTAAAAAAAAAAATGATTAGCTTATTACTGTCTTTATTAACGCATATATAGATCAGAACACAATCCTTGTAAATATCTGAGCTCTGAATACTTAATTGTTTTTTTAAAACTGTGAAATGCAGTTTGAACTCATTTGATAGAATGGTGTGTGTGTGTGTGTGTGTGTGTGTGTGTGTGTGTATGAGAGAGAGAGAGAGAGAGAGAGAGAGAGAGAGAAAGAATTGTTGAGAGGTCAGTAGACCCGATAAGTGGCCCAGTAAATCTCCCCGCGTCCTCTGCCCTGTCTGTGAGGATCAATATCATGTGTACAGTCATTCAGCCCCTCCCTAATGGACACTATCTACAGCCCTTCTGTCCTTCTACTCTTCTCCTGGAAACATACCCTCAAAGGTACAATGTGATCCTTAAAGAACCCACGTTGTGGAAAACTGAATTTTCCTCAGTTTTTATACATAAAATAGTTGATATAGCACATTTAACATCGTTAAAGTTTTCCCAGGAAAAAAAATACGTTTTGTTGATTTTCAGTATGAAACTAAATAAACAGTTCTTCTACAGAGAACACACTTAAATGTGATTTGTTTCTGCAAATTATGGTGCACCATTTCTAAATGTTGAGTTTAAGTTAGGATAGGTGCCATAACTTTTGCATAGGCCACATTTTATATTTTATATTTTTATCGTTCCCCTAGGAGAAAAGTACATATTTGTACCTTTTCATGACCACTTTAAACTGAAAAAATACACTTAAAAAACTTAAAAGAATATAGTTTGAACACATTACAGTTGTTACTAACTAAACATGCTGGAAACAAACCCATGAGGGAAGTGCCCCAGTGACAGTGAGGTGAGGGAGCCCTATTTTCTCAAAAAGCCCTAAGTCTCAAAAGTGTGGCAACAATATTGTTCAGTTTATATGGTATTATGGTCGTAGGAAAAGGTTTGGGCGCCCAGGTCAAATTACATGTTTTATTGCTTTTCTAAGTGATGAAATAAAAGAAAATAAACACTTCCTCTACATAGAACACACTTTTTAATGCACAATTACTGTATATTTACTGAATGAAAAAATTTAAAACATAAAATCTGGCCTGTTTCACTTCATCAGTAAAACCGTGATTTGGCCTAGAGGTCGGCAACTTAAACGTTAAGAAGAGCCATTTTGTCCATTCAACAAAAATCAAACCACCTTCAGCCACAACATTTTATGTCCAGATTTACTGAAGTAATATTTTATCATCTTTGGTGTAAATATGTCTCAGTATGTGCCAAAGTACTAGTATAGAATAATATTAAAATATAATATAAACGAAAACACAGACTTACTTTGTTCTGCTATAGCCGTTCGACTTTTCACGAGGCTAAAGTCACTTCACGTTCGCCAGCTTCATATTCTTATATCATATATCCTGTTCCACCCTAAATGGTGCCTGTGGTTCCAGAATGTATTTTACTGTAAAGGAGGATTATTTTATTTTTACCTAAAGTCTGAGTCTGCTGTGGAAATCTTTTGGTCCTTGTGCGTTTAAACTAGTAGTTTAAGTTTTGAGAAGTGGAGGCTGCCCGTTCAGATAAGCTAATGGGCTATCGCTAACATTAGAGATAACCGGTTCAGTGGTAGATTGTGATGACTTGTGAGTTTCTACATGATTTTTCTTTTCTACTTATTCAGTGATGTGTTGATATAATTTTGAATTATCTTTAAATGACCATTTATCTTGAATACACTACTTGCATGTGAAATTAAAATGCAAGCCTGACATGCACTGTGTGTCCAAAAGCTTCTCCGGCGTTTTTCCTAAAATGAAGGGTATTAATAGTGAGTTTGTCCTCTTTTGCTGCAGTAACAGCTTCTACTCTTCTGGGAAGGCTTTACACGAGATGATGGAACATTGCTGTAAGGATTTGATTGAGCATTAGTGAGGTCAGGTACTGATGTTGGATGGTCAGGTCTGGATTACTCCAACTCATCCCAAAGGTACTGGATGGAGCTCCATCACTCCAGAGAACACAGTTCCACTGCTCCACAGCCCAATGCTGGGGGGCTTTATACCCCTCTAGCCGACACTTGGGATTGAGCATGGTGACTTTCAGCTCATGTGCAGCTGCTCCAGAGTATCCCATTCTATTGGTCAGTGCTTTTCTATGGAAATTATACAAGCTGTGTGAGCAGTGGCTGCCCTTAAAGTAGCTGAATTCACTCATTACAAGGAGTGTCTGGATACTTGTGGATACGCAGTGTGTTTGGGAAATGTGATTGTGTTCCGCGGGTTTCATACAATATTATTTAGCTCGACAGCAGGATAAATAGCTTGTTGGATCTTGTTTGATATAGCCAATACCGATCCCTTCTAGATTAGATTGGATTGGGAGTTTTCTTGCTTTTATTAATCTCTTGCCTTTATTGTTGATGTTTGCTGTTAATCAAACCTTTCATGCAGCCCTGTTTGTGTTTGTGTGCAGGTCTCGTTCCCGTCACCGCAGGTCCCGCAGTCGTAGTAGCGGCCGGTCCAGCAGGAGGCGCAGTCGCAGTCGGAGCCGAGACCGAGACCGCAGCCAGCGCAAGACCCGGGACAAAGAGAGAGAGAGAGACAGGGAAAGAGAGAGAGGACGGGACAGAGACCGTGAGAAAGAGAAAGATGCAAAAGCCAAGGAAAAGGAAAAACAAGGGTAGGAATATTTTCTTTTGTTTTTTCATCTTCCCTCTCACTTTAACACACATGAATACCGGCAGTATAAATAGGGATGGGTGATATGATGATATGATAGTGTTATCATGATAAATTGCAACTTCACATACTTTTCTAAGTGTGATGGGTATCAGCAGTACCTGTACAACACTAAACAAGTTCATGCATCAAACATTTTAACAATTGTTTGAAACTTTTTTGGTTAAGTAGTCTATTTTTTTAAAGCTAAAAATTAAAACTTTAAAAAAAATTCATAAACTTCCAACTATTGTGATACATGTCGTATATCGTGAAAATGGATTCAAGTGTCGTCGTAATGTTGTATTTTTTAAATATCTCCCACCACTTAGGTGTAAATATTCACTTTGTAGCAGTTTAGTTTGCTTGTGATTCTTTAGGAAATGATTCTGAATAGCATTTAGCAGTAAACAGAGATGCGCTTTCAAAGACATGTTTTATTACACAAAAAATAGCCAAGGGTTATCTTGTGGTCATTGCATGATAAACAATTAGCTGTTGAATGAGGCGTGTGAAACTGAGTCAACCCCTTCAGATGAGCTAATGAGCTAATGCTAACACTACAGCTTTTTGGTGCAACGGTAGGCAGTGAGTACTTGTGGGTCTCTATGCAGATGAACATATTTTCACTGTTTATGGTTGTAGCTAATGCTTGCTTAGCCTACTTACAGCCTCATTATTTCTGAAAACTTAATCACATCTATTACATCACACTCACATTAAGGCAAAGTGAAATGTTTTCCATAGATAAGTGTAATGTAATGTACTTACTGAATACTAAGTATGACCGGAAATTTGAATCTCAGACCTCACATCGTTCTTAAGGGAACGATTCATCACAAAATTAGAAATTCCACCATTGATTGATTCAATTATTTCATTCCCATGTAATACAGAACTGATTTCCATAGACACTATGGCTGCAGCTAAAGAGTATTTTCATTTTTTGGATATTCTGTTAAATACTTTTCTTTTTAATGACAGTTCTACAAGCTCTATAAATTCTGGAAGTCAGTGAAAAAATATCTCTGATGAATAATTATGTTGATGGAAAGCTAAAATAAAAAAAAACTTAACCATCCTCTTAGAAAGGAAAACAGCATTTTAGTGAAGTCCTCTCAGTGGACAGAGTGTGATGAAGAGCTGCTGAACAAGCTTTATACCAGAGCAAACGCTAAATTCAGCCACATCGGCTTTATCGCCTGATCTGAACGATTCTCCTACAGCTCTGTGGAGTTAGCCTGCATGCTGTTGGCAATAAACACAACTGGGAACATGCTAGCTAGCTATCCAGGGCAGTAGGAAACTTGTTTGGACTGCACTTGGAGGTACAAACCATACTACTGCATTAAAATGCAAGCTGTGCCAAATCACTACATCTACACTGAGTCTGGTGTGCAGAGCTGGCAACTTGTGACAAACTACCATTTAGCTTGATGACAAAACAGTTCTTTCCCCATGGAATGCGTGTGTTTGTAAAAGTGGTAAGACCGTCAGTTATTCGAAAGGGTGTTCTGTTTACTGATATTTTAATTATCAAATTTATTGAATATTCTTGAATATTTGTCACAGCCCTAATAAACACATGACTGGATGAAGTATTAATGCAGTAGCGGATTAAGTACAATTGCAGCAATGCTTGTGTTTTATCTTTATGCCAGAAAAACAGCCTCCATATTTTATTTGAGCCCAAAAATATTCAGTGCATTTTTACGCCGTTAGTGAACACACGCCCAACAACTCTCTCCTCCGTCTCACTCTCTCATTACCCCACTCGCAGCAACTCTATCCTCCGTGCTGGTGAATCCAGCAGGGGGTTGGGACAGAGTCTACATACTCGTCCTCATCCATCTAGCTCCAGTTTTGCTCTCCAAGCGCGGTGTCTTCACAGTCCCACCGGCCCGCTATTGCATTTCCCCTCCTGCTCCGTTCTCCCTCCCTCAGCCGGTCCATGTTAAACTACCTTCGCTCACTCAGGTCTGATCTCCTCTCTCTCTGGTGTAATATGTGTGAGCACGGGCTAAAGTGGTTTCCACCTGCTTTCTCATTTTAGCACTTCTACTTCGCTGCCGCCCCAAAGCAGCATGGCCTAATGCGATTGGGGGGCTGCGTGATGCGATGATGCGGGCCGTGGCTGTCAGTCATTTTGAATGGCTTGTCGCGCTGACAGAATCACACGTGCTTTGGGAAGTAGGAGGAACGAGAAACGTTCAGAGAAACGAGAAACATCTTAATCTATTTTTAACCTGCGGACCGCATGGGTGTGTAAGGCTACCTTCACATTACAAGCCTCATCGCTCAAATCCGATTTTTGCTCAAATCCGATCTCTCTGACTCAATGGTTCACACTCGTTTAGGCAAGTGATTTGAATCTGTCATTAATATGAACGAACCGGCATCCTGAAATGACCCGCATGCGCACATCCTACTCAGTAACGTCACATGAATGAATCACGAGCATCATTAGCACAAACTAACGAGCAGAACGAGCTTCGCTGAGAAGATAATTAACTCTGATCAGTTCTCAGCTTCATCATTAGAGCGAGATGAAGGAGAAAAAGGTGAGATGTGCTGGTTTTCCACCGTTTACAGGCTTTAACTTCTGTTCGGTGCTGCTGCCGTGGTAACGCTGAAAGTGGCTCAGGTCGGAGTTGATGAGGTCAGATTTGCGTGTCCACACAGCTCTGAAAACATCAGATCTGAGTCACATTAGGGCAAAAATCAGATTTGTACCACTTCACCCTGGTAATGTGAACGTAGCCTAAGACTTCACTAAATACTAAAGATCTGATATGGATCGTTTTGCTGAGTTGGTTCAAAGTTGAAAAAGACTTTTAACTGAACTTGGACTTTGGACTAATATCCTTTTGTGTTGAATGGTCTTATGCCTTAATTATGTTTATTTTATTAAAATAAATGACTTAACATTCCATTTTGTCACTACTAAAACAATAATAACAACTCCAAAACTACCAAATGTTTCGTTAGTGACCGACCATTTTAGCTAATTTTGACAGTGACTCTAAAACGCTAGCCAAGGACTTTCCTTTCAGCTTCTGTTATTTTGCTGAATTCTGTGTATTGAGTCATGTTTTTTGGGTGGTATTAATCCTGTAGTGGAGGAGGGGTGTTGTATCTCTTGCTGGTTCTCCCTATAAATGTTCCTTCTTCCTTGTAGAAACCGTAAAATAATTACTGAAATTTTTACTGTTGATCTGCGGCTGCTGAAATTGTTTAACCTTTTCAACTCCTTGAGACCACTGGTGGTTCCAAAATGCACTTCATCATATTCATAACATATTTCATAAGCTACATTCAAAAGTTGGGTGTCATATGAGAGCTGTAACTGTCTTCTTTCCAGTCAAATAGATGGGTGATGTAATTTTAAACCCTTATAATAAAAGAAGCTGAACTCAATTTTTTTCCTGAAAGTCGACACATTTTTCCACAAATCTGGGCTATAAACTATAAACAGATGGTGTCTCTTCAGTGATCTGCTCTATAAAAATTACTTTTATAAAATAATACAAAGAGCGTCTAAGATTTTTGGATTTCAGCAGATTTAAATTGTAAGCATATAGCAATATGTGTGATCATAAAACGTTCTGTTAATTTGAGGGGAGCTTTTACAAAAAATAAATAAATAAATAAAATAAAAATTTACATTTATTTCATCCAGTTACTGAATAATTTGCCTTACAATTTGGTCATGTAAATTCAGATGGACAAACCAAAATATACCCTGGTGAATAAGAGTTTAAACATGCTTGCGCTGACTCGTTCAGGAGAGCAAAGGAAACAAGTAGTGTTTAAAACCATTTAAAAACACATTTGTCATGTTTGGTACTATTGAAATGATTTAGAAAGTGTTAGATTTAGACACTTGAAGGTCTATTTAATCTTTGTTTTTTCTTTTTTTGGGTGTTAAAGGTGCATTAAATTCGCTTCCCAGGAGAAAGGTACATATTTGGACTTTTTCGTAGATACTTTAAACAGAAAAATAAATAAAAGCCCATAAAACGAAGAATATAGTACAGCTGTGTTCACTAACTTAACTGACAGCGTTTGTACATTCGAGGTGAGGGAGCCTTTTTTTTCCTTGCATGCAGCTTATGTGGTATTATGGTTATATGCAAAAGTTTGGGCGCCCCTGGTTAAATTACATGTTTTGTTGCTTTTCTAATTGGAAGTGAACACATCCACTACAGCTCCTGCACATTTTAATGCACAGTTACAGTTTATTTGCTGAAGTTAACAAATTGGGATAAAATGTAAACACAGAATCTGGTGTGTATAAAAGTTATGGCACATTTCATAGTTTATTTTTTCCAGTAAGTTAAACTAAGCTAAAAAATAGAAATTGTGCACTAAAATCTGCGGACTTTCACAAACATGTGATCCAACTGGTGGTGAAGGAACAGTTTTGGCCAAATTTGGGTGCATCCCTAATTCCGAAAGCTCACCTGTAGGGAAATCTCTTAAATTAAAGTAGACATTCTACTGTCGTTGCTTCATTTCAAGCCCAGTATGCTGCTGTCAAATCAAACACTGTGCAGCCGTATATACAATGTGTACGCTAGTATTTATTTAGCCTTATTTAGAACTATTACTTTTTTAGATCCGTATCACTGGACCAAATAAAGTGCAGTCTCTCACATATAAAGGCCAGCCTTATATCTCTCTCCGCATTTTTATATTAAGTCTTTAATATCCTTAAACGGTGATAGCGATCTGTTTCTCTCTGACCCGGCTGTGTGTGAATGGTTTGTGTGTGTGTGTGTGTGTGTGTGTGTGTGTGTGTGTGTGTGTGTTGTAGCTTACGGCTGCGAGGGTTTGTGTTAATATTTTGTTTTTGTTTTTTTTTTTGGTCCACATTCCCTTAATCTTCAGGGAGAAGTTAGAACAAAACCTCAGAAAAGCACATACACTGTTTTCAGTAGTATCCCGAAGCTGTGTGCTGCC